TGGTAAACATAAATTTGGTAGAATTGATTCGTTATCATCACGTAGAAACTGATTCAAACCATTTTTTACATTTTCGATCAATCAATTGAAATTTCTTAAAAAATAATACAATGTTTTGACCAAGAAATAAGTGTGTGATGTCATAGAATTTACAAAAACATGCTTGAAATGAATTTTAATAAATACAAATTTATTAAGTTTAGTTTATTAATCATAATATGAATTGACTTTATCAAATTAGCATAAAAATTCTGATATCAATAAACAAGATTAGTTCTTGGTTTATGAATATCATGATAGTTAAACCAAATACAAATATAATTTCATAGCATATATTGGTAAGCAATAAAAATTGTAAATTAATCCATTGGCTATTAAGTTATAACGAATCCAAAATAAAAAAAAAAATCCTAAAAAAAAAGAAAGAATCTTAAAAAAAAAAAGATTATATCAACATTAAATTTATAGGTTAATTTACCAACAAGACTTGAAATAGATAAAATTTTCAGAATTGAATATAATAAATATAATAACTGATAACAATAAAAATTCATATTAAATTGATAAAATTTTATTATTACAGCCCCATTCAATATATTTTTGATGATAAAAGAAAGTATCACATTTGTGATCTGGTATTAATAAAAAAAACTACAATCCATCAGAAGTTAATGAATGAATACTAAACATATATAGAAATTACAAATCTCCCAATGAATCCAAGTTCTGTAATAATTGTATTGAATAAAAGCAGTACTACAAAAGATAAAAATTAGAAAGTTCATTTTGCAGAAATTAGTTGCATCAATAGTCGAAAAATTTTATCAATTATTTTGTAGTAGTTAAGCCCAATTAAGAGTCTTAGAAAAAAGGCTAATACCAAAAGAAAGAATAAATAGACATGTATAATAATAAAATTAAATAACAAGAAATCAAGCGAAACATACAAATAATCTTTCAGTATATTTTAAAATAAAAAACATTTACAGAATAAATAAATAATTTTCAATTTATAAAATTATTTATTAATTTTTGCTGCAAAAATGACATGTATGTACATACAAACTTAAAAGTGAATCAACCAGTTGTAATAATAATATTTTAAAGGATCAAAAAAATTGGTATATGCAAGCAATAATAAGATAAGTAAAAAAATAAATATTCTTTCTAATTTTCTTTGAGATTTAGATGTTTCAAATTTCTTATTTATTTCTTCAACAATTCTTACTATCGTATCGTTAACAGTATCCTGATTCTAATGATGTAATTCATAAACAATAGTTAAATACTCATAGTTAGAAAATATATATAGTTTGTAGTTCGCAACCTTACCTTATTCATTATTAAGTATCCTTCGATAACACCTTTCAATTCTTGAATATCTGTAAATAAAATATTGTTTGGCAAACATTCACATTTTTTTTCAACAATCCTCAAGAAACCGACAGGAATCGATATTACATGAATAACAACAGTATTATTTAGTGGCAGTAACTTGTTAACGATTTGAAGAAATTCTTCAATATCACAAATATTAAGTTTCTTTGTTGTAACTTCGTTGCAGTATACAAAAATATAATGATTTTTGTAAATTTCTAACAAAACGTTTTCTTTTCTTTTAAGAAAAAAGAAATTTTTATAAGTAATTATCATTAATTGCATCCTATTTACCACAGACCTCTGCATGAAGCAGGACAAGCTTTTTGGGTTAAATATATCGAAATCACTGATATTTTTTAAAACAGACATAATAGAGAAGGACATTCACAGACATTGCATGCCTGTAGCCACGATGAGCTTCCAGTTCTCTAAATGTTTCCCTAGTGGCAGCGTAGCTTCAGATACATAATGACAAGAAATTAAACTTAGTGATTTCTCACCTAAAATCAAGAAAAATTTTACTAAGCTTCAATCCTGTGAAAACATTGGTAGTAAAATCAGTTTTATTTTTAAGCAGTATTATAACTAATTAAAGTGAAACGCGATAAACAGAATTCATATATTTATCTGATCTTTAATTTTCTTACAGTTTTAGGGGCAGAATAATTTGATTTCGCGAATTTAAAATGGCTAAAAAGGTTCTCAAAAAAATCACAAATATTCAGTGCATAACAATAGGTCTAGTTCAAATCTTTTTGTCTTTATAAAAGAAAAAAAAAGACTTAAGGTTACCGTTATAAAGTTAAATTACATATAAGGTTGGTTACATAGTTACATAGTTATTAGCGATACTGTTAGATATCGATAATCATAAAATTTAAATTCTGCTGATCAGCGTCTGGTAAACATAATGTTGGTAGAATTAGCTCGTAACTCTGGTAAACATAAATTTGGTAGAATCTAACAGATAATTAAATCGTAACTCTGGTACCTTAAGCATAATTTTGGTAGAATTAATTCACAGCTTTGGTAAACATAATGTTGGTAGAATTAAATCGTAAATTTGTTAAATGGAATTATAATTAATTTATGCTTTTTTATATTCGGTATGTTTAAAAGTTATGTGTAAGGTAAGTTATTCACCCTTTAATAACCTTAATGTTAATGCAGGCTAAATTTATTATAGCCAGTATTAATATCAAAGCTGACCTGCTTGCTATGATAAATTTTGTAACTTATATAATAGTGAGAACTTGGTTTTGGTGATAAGATAATATATTAAATATTAAATTAATGAAGGCTTTCAGAATTCTAATTTTCAGAAGTGCTAATTTGAGAAATTGGTCATGTAACTGAGTCACATTGTCTTAACCTAGCTTGAAATTATATTTTAATTTTGTCTGGAAGGAATTATACTTAATTTTACTTGATTATTTTTTTTTAATTTTGCCTGGAACTATACTTAATTTTTTGTCTGAAATTATATTCTAATTTGCCTAGAATTATATCAGAATAATTAATTTTGCCTGAATTTATAAAGTATGGTTATTTTTAAGCCCATCAAAACACTATTTTTAAAGTTTATAACGGGTTGACTTGACACAAAAAAATATGGAACAGGGGAGGATTTTGATAATTTGTCAACAAGTTGCTTGATCATTTCTTCATACAAATGAATTTCTTGGCAAAGAACAATATCATATCACTAAATAATATTGATTATTTTCAGTATGATCGATCTTTAATTTTTTTTTTACCAAATTCTTTAATACTAAATGCAATAATTAAGCTAATCTTAGATTTTTTTTTTAGTAGTTTCTTTTTTGTACTTTTTTTTCATATTATTATGAAAAATAATAATAAATAAATAAAATAAATATATATATATATATATCAGTAATTATATTGCTGCAGCATTGTTAATTTTACCAAATTTTCAGAAAATGAGCAAAAAGCAGTTGATAACTACATTAATGTTATTCAATATTTCTCTAAACCAATTATTTATATTATTAATACAAATATTCGTTACGAAGTTTTAATATCACACGACTTCACTGACCCATGGGTCTGTAGAGTCACATGTTTATAAATCTAACATTTTAACCTTTTGCAATAAAATCTCATTAAATTCGGGAGTCTTATGATAAGCATTGTCATCATTTAAGAGATCTTTGAGAAATCGATTATATTTAGTATTTTCAGTTCTCATTAAATATCTTGAAGTGAGACCAGATTCAACAAGGATATTCACTGGGCAACGAGTTATATGAAACAATTCAACCAGTCTCCAGGTGCCAATCTAGTACCTTAATTCTTGCCTTACTTCTATGTTTAATATTGATTTTATTTTATCGCACACATGTTTGCGTAAAGTTTTATGACTAAAAGATATTTTTATCAAATTTTTGTATTCATCTACCATTAGTGATAAATAAGGTTCTCAGAGTTTGTATAGCAATTTCAACAAATTCAATTCAACTTTACACCTTGTTGAATTAAGTTTATTATATTGTGTCTTCCACCCTTGAAGATAAAGATTTAGCGATTCATTCTTCGATGAATAAGTAGTGATAGTTTTGATTGATAAATGAATATTATTATCATCAACATCAAAAAGATCATCGAAATTTGTGGTTAAAAAATTTTCTATCAAAGAGTTTGTTGAGAAGAGTTGGTCTTTATATATTTTTAATTGATATTTCATAATATTATCAAATTTGTCTTTAAGAATCTTGGCCTTATTGTTTTCAGTTTTACTAACAGTGACTTCAGTAGAATTTTCTAACATATAATTTAGATTAATCAATTTTTAGTTAAATACTGCAAATACAATCATAAAATATATACCGTTAGAATCAGATTCTGAAGGAATATGTTGTACGCATTTAGTTAAACTTTCTGAAACATAATCTAAATTAATCATTATTTATTTCATAATATAATAATGTAATAATACAAATCATACCGGATTCTGAAGAAGAATAGTGTCATTTTCTCTTTAAATCTTTATGTAGAATTTTATACTTTATATAAAGAAATAGTATAAGCAAAGAATAATTCATTAAATTTGCATATTATAATTCATACTTTTATACCGAGTTATTATCTATTAAAACAATTGGTACTAAGTACGAAGATGCATTTTCAATTTTCATTTCAGGCTTACGCTTTAAATAATAAAAAATAATATTTAAACTTCTTATTCGCCAAATTTACCATTAATAATGCCAATTTACTATCTGATTATTCAATGGATTATTATTTGATGGTAGATTTTTTTGACTGTTGATAATTGATGAAATTGCTTGCACATCCTTAATTAAGATATAAAAAAAAAAAAATAAGTGAATATCTGTATTAAAAGAAAAAAAAGTCAAGCTAATAATTGCTACTAACATTCCTATCACTATCTACAACATCTTTTTTGATATTATTAGAGTGAGAAAGGGTAGAACTATTGTTTCGAATTAGAGGTGGCTTCGGGAAATTGTTTTGTTAGTATATAACAATCATTAATAAAATTAACTTGATTATAACATTTACCAATATTTCGCTAATGCTTGGCAAAGAATTATCTGTCAAATCTGAAGAAATGCGCTTTATGGAATCGTCAACAGGATCATAATTAACCTTTAATTTGGAATAGGTTAGAAATATTACAATTAACTGTAAACTATATGATATTAATGTTTATTTATTCACCTTATTAGTTTTTGTTTTATTTTTTTTTATTTTTCTTAATTTTATTTGAAGCATTAAACTTTTTATTGATTTTAGATTTGTTTTTTTTGATAGAGTCATTACTTTTCGTCAACATTGAAGTTAATGTGTCAAATCTTTGTTCTTCAGCTTCTTCGGCCGAATCTGAATACTCATCAGATGGGTCCTAAAATTTTTTATTTTAATACTAAAAGTGACATATATATTAAAGTTGCTAATAAATTCTTAATGCATACACCATTTTCTTCATGGTTTAAAGGTTTTTTTACAGAAACAGATGCGTCTGTATCATCTGAAAGGTTTGATCCTTTAATTGCATTGTCTTCTTCTATATCAAAGCTAGAGCTTTGAGCTACACTTTCTTCAATCGTTATTTCTGGGTTCAATTGCGAATTACCAGCAGGTTGTTTCTTAAAATTTTTTATATTAATATTATCTAATAATCCTTTTTTGATTTGAACGCTAGTTATCAATTTACCTGAAAATTAGGGTCCAAAACTTGATTTTCACTTCCTTGATCCTTTTCGATTGCATTATATGATTGGTTCTAAAAATTTATTTTTGTTACTAAAAATAAGAGATCTACTATATTAAGTTGCTATACAAATTATTAATAATTATATCGTTTTCTTCATAGTTTAATGGATATTTAAGAATATTCTTTGCAAATATAAATTTTGTAGCAGGAAAAAAATGCTCAGATATCAAGACCCAAATTTTAAAAGAAATAATTGAATATAAATAAGAAAATTCCTCACTTGATTTTTTTTCGAAACTTTAAAACATTTATTTATTTGTAGTTTTTCTGTCTGTTAACCTGTTTTTGTAATATCAGATTCAATTATATTTGCATTTGCTTGGATACCATCATCGATTTCCTTTGTTTAAAAAATAATAAAATAAGTAAATAA